ATGAGGACTCTCTTATCAATGGGATGCGCTGAATGAAGAGACAGCCCGGCTGGATGCACTGTTCCTGAATGGGATGCAGCGTCTGGTTTCTGCAGCTTTTAGTAAACGCTGCCATGTCTCCTCAAGTTGCTGAATGTTCTCTAAAAGCTGCACGTGTTGTTGCTGAAGATGTTTCTTCATGTGGAACCTTTGTGTTCTTGTAGCTGCATCCTTTCTGAAGCTGCAGTGAGTTTCTCCTGATGGAAGAGGTTTGGGACGTTGTTGCGTGTTTGCACCTGTGGGCCACCGTAGATTAGCTCCTTTTATAAATAGACCTTTTACACATCATGCTAACTATGCAAACAAACATTCAACATTTTTTTGCTAAAGCCCGCACATTTAGAGTTGTTTACTTTCACAACAACAGCTTTAACATGTTATAAAACACAATCATTCTGTCAAGTTGATAACCATTAACCTGTTAAGCCCAGAGCCTGTTTTTCAGGTTTCAGGCTCGAAAATGACATGCCAAAAACAAATGACGACAACTTCACTTCTAAAAGGGTTATATGAATAATTTATTTTATCAAAGCAAGGTTACATCTGTGAGTTGGATGTAGAAGTGTCAGAATCAATATAGATGTTTCTCAGTCAGAGTAAATTCAGATGGAACATAGTAAAAAAAGGTAAATTCTTACCTCCGCCTACAAAAAACCCATTACTTATAGTGAAAACCACCCTTGAATGATGGGATGGTAGACTAAAAGCTTTAGGAATCCAAACTATAACATATAATAAGTACCCTGTATCAAGATTGATGCAAAACAAGTTAAATTTGACCTTTTTAGAGAGGTTTAGCAAAAAAAGTTCCAGGCGGAATAAGCTTTCGGCACATTTGGGTACATCTGGTTCCATCAGTGCCATTTGACCTTTTTCAGGTACCAGACTATAAAAATGATGTATTACATTGAATTATCACCATAGGTATTCATTCCATCCAAAGAAAAAAAATAAAAATTAAAAAAATTAATTAAAAAAATAAATACATTTAAAAAAAGACCCGCCGACGGGGGCTTTGGGGCTTAACAGGTTAAAAGGTGCAGAAATGTAGAACGTTTAAAGACTGTCATTTTAAAATAACACCATAAAAACGATCCATCAGTCAAATCAAATATGGTGTGATAGTTTTATCCATTTATTTTTGCAAACACAAGAAACCCCATTGTGTTCAAGCACTAAATCCCAGCAGGTGTGGAGATTAGGGTTAATCTCAGGGGAATAGAAATAATTGTAATAACCTTTTGTCAGATTTGAGTTCCTAAAAGCTCCATAAATAATAAAAAGAGGGACATGTTTCCACTAATCCGGAGTCTTCTGAGCTTTTTATAATAACCAACACCTGATGCCTCATATCTAACACACACCTGAAGGACCTTTACCTTTGAAATGTGACTGGTTTAATAAGTGAGATGAAATCAGTCTGATCTGATAACACCTCGGTGTTGGACATTAGCCTCAGACCATGTTTACTTTCTCTGGAACCTTATCAGGTACCGGCTGTAGACGCTGAGTCAGGCTGGACATGTAACCCTAACCCTATAAACATCCACTTCAGGTCAAAATAAAACATATTTGAAGGTCCTTTTTCAAAACGACTTCAAATGAAATCAACTGGAAAATCTATATATTATTAGATCTTAAAAACAGCCTTTAAAATCCTGTATCAGTCACATAGCGTAGATCAGGGATGTCAGGAGACCAGAAATATAGTAGTTGACACCAAAACCAGTGAACTAACAAAATAAATCCTATGTACTTCAACAGTAGCATGAAGTTAAACCGATCATAATTCCTCTAATATCTAGTTTGTTTTACTCTGGAAACATCTGGATTTATTCAAGTATATCTCCAAAAACTACATTTTTAGAAGATTACGTTTTGAACGCATCACAAAATTGTGTAAATAACCTTTAACCAGTAGTCATTTGTACGTTATAGAGCATGAACGCATTGTGTAGCGCTAACGTTGGCTAACTATCCTAAACATATGTTTTTTGCATGTAGCATTATCTGGAAGAAAATATTGGGGATCCCATATTCTCTTTGTTGGTGAGTTTATACTACGTCGCAAACTCATATGATTGTTATTCTACGGACAATTGGAAACTGAAGAAAGGGGCGGCTGTGCCTCATAAATCTACCTGCACACAATATTCAATTTCACTTGATAGACCTTGAACACATCACAGTGTAACGCTGACAGCTAACGTTAGCTACCTAGCCTGCAGATTTTACACAGATTTATTTTTCACAGGTAGCATTATCTAGAAGAAGTATTGTGCGTCTCCTGAACTCGATCACAGCGTCCCAAACACATTTGAATGACGATGGGATGCTGAAGAATCATTTATAATATGAAATATATAGAAATACTTGATACCTTCCATCAAGCCTAACGATAAGTAGTATGTTATTTAAGGTGAACCACATTTCCTGAATCCGTGACTTTGGTTTAACCGGCAGCAGCCAATCAAGATCAAGAGATCTGTAGTTTCTGCACAGCACAACTTGACTCATTGAGTTTTGGGTTTCCATTTGGGAAAGTTGTGGAAGTACCCGGTACTTTTTATTGTACCACCTTATAGGTTGTAATTGCTGGACATCCTGCACAAACCCGGCTTCTTTAAATAGCAAACTACCGTCAATAGTGATCACATCTTCGTTTACTCAAAAGCACATTTCGTACAGAATTAGAAAGTTGAATCTGTATATTTTGAGGAGATTCATATCTCTTCCACTTATCCTCAGAAACTCTGTGACCTTTCACAAGGACCCTCCCTGTAAATGGGAGTTTGACATGTTTGGCGTCTCATTGGATGCTTTGAACCATGTGACCCCCGCTGTGACCCCGCCCCCTTCATTAGGACTCTGAAAGAGCTCCGTGGACCGGAAACTTCTTTTGTTTCCGCCGGACGGTTTCCAGAAATCCCGGAGCTCTGTTTCAGCGAAGTGGAGGTAGAGAGAGCGATGGGTCCTGATTCAGACTGTCCGACCCCCCACTGAGTCCCCCCCCCCCCCATTTGTTCCGTCACATATACAAGACGTTGATCAACTCGGACCGGGAGGACAAAAACTTTATTTCATGTTGCATGGTCTCCAATACTCTTCATTCAAAGATTCCTCACCTTCCTGCTGAACAAAATGTAGACCCTAAAGCGATCAAGAGTTTAGTATCAGTCAATATAAAGTAAGAATCTCTCTAAAGCAGAAGTTTAGTATTCGATGCCGCTGAAAGTTCAAGATTCTTGACGCAGTAAAACAAAAACCCTAAATCCTGAACAAGCACTCCTGTAAACTGTTTACGTACTTTGATGTGATTCATTCTCAAATATCCATTTCATACTGCTCAAAAAAGAAATTAAGAATATATATTCAGGGTCTGTCTGGTGACATAAATCAAAATATAGAAATGTATGCATGATTACACGCGTAGAAGCATATCTGATATACAACCAACAAAAGTGAGAATCTGAGCCAATGATACAACACTGCAGCTTAAAGTCAAACCTGAGCTATATTTGATTTCTGTGATTTAGATTTATTTCTACGATTTGAATGTCATTTGTGCAAATTCTCAAATGTAAATATGAACTTCCAACAAGCTAAGCGTGCTAAAAGTCGTCAGATGTTGAACTCTTCCATGAATACATGATGGAGTATCACAATGTTACATAATCAGAGAGCGTATTATCCTGGAACAACAGATGGTCCCAGGAGGGGGGGGGTCTCTCTCTCTCTCTCTCTCTCTCTCTCTCTCTCTCTCTCTCTCTCTCTCTCTCCTCTCTCTCTCTCTCTCTCTCTCTCTCTCTCTCTCTCTCTCTCTCTGATGGAGGTGAAGACCTGACCTGCCTCTGGTTTAATCTGCTGGACTGTCACAGCATAACGACGCAGAGAGAGGACAGTTCCTGCTCCAATCACAACGGAAACTTCACCAACGAGACACTGGAGAGGGACTTTAGAGAGACTAAAGAGAAACTGGAGAGAGACCAATGTGTGACCAACAACAAGTGACTAACAAGGATCTACTTGGGAAGTAACGATGGACTAACTGTGGATCTAATGTTGGACTAACGAGGATAAAACGAAGGACTAAGAATGGAAGAACCGCAGAGTGAAGAAGCCTCACTTTCCTCGTCACAGTCTCGTCTTTTTGTTGTGGGATTCTCATATTCGTGATTTAGCTCGAGGTGGTCGGGGTTTTATTTAAGATACATATTCTTCACTGATCAGAAGTTATGAACCCCCGCTCGTCCTGACTGATACTCGGCTGCAAGATATTTTATAATTTGTGGGAAATCTTTAAAGGCACTGAAGTTATTTTCTTCTTGTAGCACAGCTCTGCAACCTCGACTATAAAACGTAACCTCAGATACTTTCGCCTACTTTTTCTCTTTTTAGAGATTTTATTTGTTTAATTCCCACTCCTATATAATATTTTATGTAAAAAAAAAGTCTCCCAACGTATATCTTTTTTTATACAAACATATAAGAAAATCTAGCTTAAAAAAATAAAATCCCTCTGTTATTATTATTATTATTATTATTATTATTATTATGTTAATAAAAAACTACATTTAAAAATGTGTTTTAAAAAAAGTGTTCCTGCTCCTATCGCCAACAAAGTAAAGTTAATGGAAACAAAAATCTAAATCTCATCAAACTAAAATATTTGTATTTGTCTTTTTTTAATGTAATGCCAAATCCACTCTCCTCGTGGCTACCAATTAAATACATATCTCTGTCTTTTGTCAAATAAAATCTCAACCTAGCTTAACATTTTTAAATATTGTTCTGCTTTGCAAGAGAAAAAAAACTGTCTCTTTCCTCCGTAAAAATGTGCAGACTATTATTGAAAAGTTATCGGCGCTTTAGTAAACTTGTTTTTAAATGCGTCCAGCAGACGTGACTTCAGCCGTGACTTCAGACGTGCAGAGAGAGTCTTGAGTTACGTGCAGAAACTGAAGCTGCCGGCTCTGGTTTCAGATCAACTCTGAGGACGTGACGAGGATAAAGTCCAGCGGTTATCAGCTCTGTGGATTCAGAGCAGAGGTGAGCAGGCAGAGCGCTGCATGAAGAGAGGGTTACACTCACAGCTGGACTCGGAGAGGATGTAACTCTGAGGGGGGGTCGTGGTGGAGCTGGAGCCCCCTCCCTCAGGAAGCCTCGCACTGACCCTGTTTCTCACGCTGATCGTAGGGATGTTTGTTTTATGCACCCTGGCCGTCCTCACGCTGCACGACCTCCTCCGGCGCTGGAGCCACAGGGAGGTGGAGACGAGTGGGGGGGCGTCAGGGTCTGTGGGGAAGAAGAGCCATAAGGTCTGCAGGAGAGGAGGAAGAGGAGGAAGAGCAGGAGGGGACGACAGCAGGAGGCCAGGGCAGGTGAGCAGATGGAGATCAGGTTCAGGCAGAAAACACCGTCTATTTGCGCTTCACTCGAGTGTTTTACCAACAAATGATACGAAGAAATTCAATCATGAGCAAGTCACTTTCTCCTCTCCGTACTTTTGAGGTGTTCTAGTAACTTTGTAGTGCACCCACAAGCAGTTTGTCTGAGGTGTTTATATACAGGTAAATATGATGCAATGCAAACATGTATGGAAGTAAAACTCACTTTTCTCCACTGAGTAAAATAAATGACATTCTTTTTAACGACTCAATTCAAAAATATATTTTCTATAAACAGTATATGTTTATAGAAAATAGTAAGACCGTTGCAGGCGCCACTCTTCGCAGTGATTAGTTTTGAAGTATAACAAGAAACAATATTGACTCAAATGTATTATTGAAGGTGCCTGCGCTTCAGTTGAGTGTTCCCATTACACTCCGTATATTCTACAGCTTTAGTAAAGCCCTTTGGCCACAGAGCGTCTGACAATATCTCTATCAGTATTTATTTGTTTGATCATCCAGTTCCTATCGGACTGCTGTACACGGCGCCATCTGGTGGTCAGATTCAGTCTTTCTAAAAGTATGTCAGGCAGAAGGCATAAGTGATATGTGCGGGCTTTATTGTGACGGTTTTAGTGCTGGACCTTCTTCGCCAGGCTTTTATTGTGAAAAACGAATGCTCAACCTTTTATTATATGGCTTTTATTGTGAAGGTTTTGATGCTGGACCTTTGTCGTTGGGCTTTTATTGTGAAATATTAATGCTTGACCTTTTATTATATGGCTTTTATTGTGAAGGTTTTGATGCTGGACCTTTGTCGTTGGGCTTTTATTGTGAAATATTAATGCTTGACCTTTTATTATATGGCTTTTATTGTGAAGGTTTTGATGCTGGACCTTTGTCGTTGGGCTTTTATTGTGAAATATTAATGCTTGACCTTTGTTGCCGGGTTTTTATTGTGAAGGTTTTGATGCTGGACCTTTATCGCCAGGCTTTTATTGTGAAATTCTTAATACTAGACCTTGTGTGCAGTCTGTTTTCTACTCATCACAAACTGACAGTGAACACAGAAGTTAGCTGTGAGTTAGGGAATGTTATTCCTCTACTCTTTCCGCTCTTATATTTTTGAAGCAATGCATAAACCTGAAGGGTAATTTCCTCTCAATCTGCAGCCTCTTGTGTTCACTCTGACTCTGCATGCAGTCCTGCGTAAAGCAAGATGCGTCCAAACAAACAAACAAACAAACACATTTACAGTGAGTGTGATTCTGCTGATGTTGCACTTCAAAGTGAGCGTCCCTCAGTGGGGGGGGGTCTGATGGAGGGCAGAGAGATATTTAGCTGCTGCTGATGTGTTCAAAAACTTCATGTCTGCTGGTTAATGTCAGCGTCTTCAGTTTAAATCTGCCGTGTCCAGCAGAGGAATGTGAAGCCTGAGGTCACATGACGTCTGAAATCCTGTGTTATATAAAAACCCATTCATCGTCTGAGGATCTTAATCTGAGCGCTCCGTGTTCAAACGTCTGCTTTCATCTCATGAAGGACTTTCACTTTCATCCGTGCAACAAGATCTGGATTTCAAAAGTCGTTTTTACAAATATCATGATGACTTTTTAGATGTATTTTTATAATTGAAAACCCGTCTTTATTATGCAGAATATATATTATTTACATGATGTACTGAGTGCAGCTTCTTCAGCGTGAGGAATAGACTATAATTAACTACATACTTTCTTTATGTGCTGCCATTTAGATCGACACACTTCAAATAAGAAAACACTGGAGTTATTAAACATGGGTCAGGGTTAAAATACAAGAACAGACAATAATTATTCAGAAAATACAACTATTTTAATCAAATTGATAATTTTACTAAATGAATTTTCTGAAAACTGGAAATGTTATCACACAAAATAAAGCAATTAAGTGAAAATCAGGTTTATTATATTTGTAATGAAAAGGCAGAAGTTGAAAGACCATAATTACAATAGCTAATAAAATAAATAAATTGTAATTATTCTTATTAATCAGATTCTTGTTTTTCCTCTTTGAACACCTTTGTTTTGGGGTCTTTAGGATACTCAAAAACTCGCCTCATAAGCCCCTCCCCTCACCGCCTTCAAACAAAAGCCTCGAAATGTAACTTCCACTCAGACGTACGAAACTCTGTACGCATGTGTACCGTGGTCCGGCGTACAGAAAAGCCTCTTGGAGGTGAACTCTGAACCCAACAGGAAGTCGGCTATTTGGCTTTTCTGTTGCTATTTTAGGCGCTTTTTAGCCTTTTTACAGGGTTTGTTCCTTTTGAATATTATCAGAACTTTGGTTGCAGCTCTCGAGCAATGCATTCATGTTTTCACTATGCTCCTAATCGCATGCTCACACACACACACACACACACACACACACACACACACACACACACACACACACCCTGCTGTTGCATATTGCAGAGGGGGGAGGAGCCGCTCTTACGCTTCAGTTGATGCTGAAATATTTATCCGTCGGCAGTGAAAGGGGGGAGGAAGGGAGGATTTGTGTGGGGTGGGGTGGGGGGGGGGATGTTGTAAGGGGTGGTTCTAGAGGAGGTGTGATGCTGCTGTGCTGTTGCTAGGGGAACAGAGAGGGAGGAAGCTGTGTGTGTGTGTGTGTGTGTGTGTTGACACTGATCCTGCAGAGTGTGTGAAGCAGCAGGAGGATGCAGCGATGATGCAGACGGCGAGGTAAGGACAGGGGGACACAAAGAGGGAGGTATGGAGGTCTGGGGGGGGGGAGGAAGGGAGACATGTTGAGTGTGTAACCTGATGCAGAAAGATGACCTGAATCCTGCCGAGTGTTCGGAGCACCGGGCGTTCATTTTGTTCTTCCTGTTGGATGGTAATCTGCTCCCCTCGCTCTGGGGGTCCTCTGGGCTTTAACGTGGCCCACTGACTCAGGTCTGATTGTGATCACGCTTTTAATTTCCTTTTTGTAATGTCTATGTAATCCTGCACCAGATGATGCGTTCAGGTGCAGGACAAACGGCAGCATTAAGGCTCATTCATGCTAGGGCTGGGCAGTGCACTGATGTATGGATTCTTATCCTGCTAGATATCGTCTTTTGAGAGGATTTTAGAATATCGTCTGTTATGGTGAAAACTCATTGTATTGAATTGTTCAGTATTTCTTCTCTGGAGCTCTGCAGGGTGTCTCATGTGGCGCACAGCAGCAGATCGTCCACGTCAGAAGCCTTTTCACTTCCTGGAAATATTCTGATTAACCCCGGTCACGTAGCCGGCTCGCAGCTCGTGGTCAGGTGTCTCTCGGCGTACCTCGAATCTGTCTCAGGATTTCTTTTCTTGCTGCCATCTTCGTGCACATGACTCTTCCTCTTCACCCTTAGTTTGTCTTACCATTCTCACTCCCTGGAAACACAGCGAGTCTCTCCTTTAACACCCTCCAGTGTTTCTACAGATTTCTGTCGGCTTCTTGGTGAAAATGACCTTCCTTCTTCCTCATCTTCCTCAACCTCAGACGTTCATTTTGAACCCTAACCCGACACACTTTGTTCTGAAGATCTGCCGGTGTAAAGTCCGTCTGATGTCCAAACATGTGTCAGCTACAGCTTCTCCGAGTGTGTAGCGCTCACACTTGCTTCCCTCATGTAATGCTAATGAACTATAGCAGTATTTATGAAGCTCGATGTTTCAGGCCTCTGAGGATCCTGTAGCAGGTGGAGATGCCTTCAGGTACTTTTTACTTCATTGTGACTTTGAGACGCTTTTTTGAAATGGGTTGCAATGCTCTTCCTCACTGTGTGTTGGGCCAACCGAAGCTGCACGACTCATCGTGAAACATGGTTTGGATCGATGTCTCATTGATGGTGATTTTTGCTGAATTCGGATCAGTTTAAGAAATGTCAGATATATGTTCAGCCTGAAGGAGTCTCTGCAGCTCAGGTGACTCGGGTGTCTTTGAGCTGACCTCAGAGTTCGTTTGTAAAATGAATATAGTGGGACGTCTGTTGCACAGGAGAGCATAAAAAGGCTCTATTATTGATTTAAAGATTAGCTGATCAGTTTCCCCTTAGCTCTCTTTGTTTTTCTGTATGTCCTTAAAGCCTGGCTGTAAACACAGGAAACGGCAGCATCTTACCTCCTCTGAACAAGTCAGTGATAAATACCTAAATATGAAACCCAACATAGACCCAGATTCTACTCGTGTTAAAGCGATTAGTCCAATAAATACATGTGTTGGACATTAAAAAACCTTCTTTAAAGGGGACCTATCATGCAAAATGCACTTTTGTACGTCTTTTATAAATGAATATGTGTCCCCGGTGTTCCAGGGAACTCACCAAGTGTCAGAAAACACAACCCTCTCTATTTTCCTCCATACCCAAATCTCTAAAAAAGGGGCTGCAACGGATCTGATAAAAACTGATCCAGATTTGAACACTGTCCTGACGTCAGGACGGTGGCGCTACGGCTATTGGGCCAACTCCACCAATCAGGAGGAGACAGCCACGGCCATTGCCGTTCGAAAGCGCTGGAGACGCTGTAGTACATATGCCAGGCCAGTAGATGGTGCTGTTCTCACAGAATCAGCCCTTGCTAAAACAGAGCTAACATTTTTCAAATTGAGCGAAATGAGGCATGGCTAAAATGCATGATCTGTTTGGTATTTTGAAAAGAAAAAAGTATAAATATGCCTTATATAGGTATGGTCCTACACTAGATTATTCAAATATAGCATGATAGGTCCACTTTAAGTCATTTCTTCAGATGAAATACCACACCACGCGTTCCAGCCTCTCCAGTGTGACGTGGTTACTTCGTCTCTTTAACTCTTCGTCTGTCGGACTGGATTTGAAGCCCATTTGTTATTTACTTGCTGAGTAGTATGATGCCTTCAGGGTAGGGCTGTGCAATTAATCGTATTTTAATCGCAATTACGATTTTGGCCTGCCACAATTACGAAAACAACATAATCGGAAAAAACAATTATTTTGC